ATACATTGTGATATTTTTTAAGAAATCTGCTTTCAACTTCATACTTATTATTTTACATGTAACTTGTATTTTTGTTCTCAAGTTGCTTTTTAAGGTTTTCCTTTCTGTCACTAATCTTATGCTTTTTGATTATAACATGCCTAGGTTTAGGTCCTCTCCCCCACCTGTGTTTCTTGTGTTTTGGGTTTGCTGAGTTTGCATCTGTAGGTTCATGGCCTTCTTGAAGTTTGGACAATTTCCCACCATTATTTCTCTATTTTTTAAATGTCTCCTTTCTTTTGGAGACTTTAATAATTACATATATTCAACACCTTGAAATTATCCCACAGTTCACTGGTGCACTGTTCATTTTAATAAATCTTGTTTCACTGTGGACAGTTTTCATCAACATATTATCCACTTTTCTGGCCTCCTGCAAGGTTACACTGTCATTAAGTTCATCCAGCATGTTTTTTCTTTTTCTTTTTTCCTTTTTAAAATCGTAGCCATTATATCTCTAGAAACTTAGCCAGGTATGGTGGTGGACATCTGTAATCCCAGTGGCTTGGGAGGCTGAGGCAGGAGGATATAAAGTTCAATGCCAGCTTTAGCAAAAGTGAGGCATTAAGCAACTCTGTGACATCCTATCTCTAAATAAAATATAAAATAGGGCTGGGGATGTGACTCAATGGTTGAGTACCCCTGAGTTCAATGCCCAGTACCCTTTACCCAGCAAAAAAGAAATTTAATTTGGGTCATAGGTATGTATGTATGTATCTGTTTATCTCTTCCATGTTCCTACATAACGTAGGCAGTCTGAACATATGAAATGCAGTCATAATAATTATTTTAATGCCCTTGCCTCTTAATATTGAAGCCTGTCACTTCTAGGTCAGCTTCAACAGACTGATTTCCTTTTCCCTCATTATGGGTGTATTTCCCTGCTACTTTGTTAAGCAATTTTTAAAAATTAGATTCCAGATGTTGTGAGATGCTGTTTATTTTATCATCTTCCTCCTCTTCATCTCCTTTTTGTCTTATAAACATCATTGAATTTTGCTATAGGAGGTGGTTAAACAGTTTGATTCTATGGTTTTCACTTTTAAATTTTGTTCAGGGTGACCAGAGCTGTGTTTAATCCAAGATCAAGTTTTCTCCATGACTGAAACAAGACTGAAACTAATGTCTCAGAATTAGTTTTCCTTTCTGGGAATTGTTTTCCTTTCTGGATGTTGAGAATAGGCCCTGTTCTTCTTCCTGAGTGAGTTCCATGCACTGTAACTTCCTTTTTGGAGAGATTTCTCCACAGAAATGCACTGGACGGTATTCAACTGAATGCTCAAGGGGGACCCCCTCAGATCTCCAGATTCCTCTCCTGTGCACCTCTCTACCACTCTGGTTTAGCTAATTGGCTTCTCTGGATTCCTAGCCATCTCTCCTCCACTCAAGGAAAGCACGGCTCTGCCTTGGTACGCCCTCTCTGAAGTATGGCCTGGAAATTCTCCAGTCAATAAGATGAAGATTCAGGGGGACTCATTTCATTTGTACCTTGTCTTCAAAGATCTCTGCCTTTCCATGACTGATGTTCAATGTCTTGATTGCTATTGTTTCATGTATTCTGTCCTCTATTTTTAATTTTCTTGCTGCTGTTTCAGATGGGAGGTTGTAGTCCCCTCCATCTTGGTTAGAAGCTTAAAGCTGGTTTCTAGTTTGTGGCTGACATAACAGATACAGCCACAAATGTCACTGCACTCGAGTCTTGGTTCCTCGTGTGCCTCCCTGATGGTGTTATATAAAGGGTAATGCACTGTATTACAGATAATTTTGCCAAACTATCCTCCAAAAGGTTTTTTGACTAAAAAACATTTAATCTAGATTCCTACTAATGGTTCTTTTCAAAAGCCCACTTTCCCATGTGTCTACAACACTGAAGATTAGCAGAAGTGTACATCTTTACCAATTTGAAAGTTTTTTTTTTTTTCATTTTCATTTTTTTCATCGGGTTAAATTTTGTATTCTTAAATGCTTACTGGAAATTGGTACTACTTTCTCTGGACCTGCTTATTTATGTCCTTTGGTTTTGTAGAAACTTGGTTTGTCATTTTTCTATTGATTTGTAAGATTTTGTGCAGGAAATTAATCATCTAGCATATAAATTATAATCCCCCTTCTTCTCCAGTTGGTAATTTGTTTTTTGACTTTACTCAGAATTTTTTTGGTCATGAGTCATTTTAAAATTTTGATGTATCAAATTACCAATTTTCTTCGTGGCTTTGGCTTTTGCATATTTTCTGGGTGCACGTATGTATATGTATATACAGGAGCTCAAATCTTAAATTCATAATTAATAAAATAGCCTAGCTTCCTTTTCCCTATAAAATAGAATTAGATAATAATGTTGCTACACTGAATTCTAGTCACTTATACTGATCAAGCTCTTATCGGCAAATGTCTTTGATAAACATGGAAGGACTAAATTTTTATATGTAAATGCAGCTGGGTAGGGAAGAATTTCAAAGCATGGGGGAAGAGCTGGAGAGGTATTACAAAAGGATCCTGGATTTAAACCAGTCTTATTTCCCCCATATTTAGGGACTCATATTTAGATCCATTGGAAAGGTGGAGCAATGGTGAGAAATTGAAAACGATGGCTAGAACCTACTGGGTAGGTTCTAATACAGTTCCTAAAGCCTGCGGCCTCCCCTGAAAACAGCTTCCTCTCCTTCCTTTGGATGGCCAGGGTACTTGCTGCCAGTGCCATGAACATACTTAGACTTTGTACTTTGTCACATGCTTTCTTCATGTTGTTGCCTAATGTTGTTAAGTTCTATTTTTCCAAGAAGGCAGGTGCTGGAGAGCAGGGCCTTGGCATACACTTCTCACAACTGAGTTGTACTGAGCTTGAGTTCGTGCTGCTGAAGGCAGAAAAATGGCATAGAAACTACCTCAAATTAAGAGAACAGACTCCAAGAGGAAGGCATGCTATTCACCTGCTTGACAGGGCATGGCATTTGTCATTATCAGCCAGTTGCCAAGAATGAAGAGACCGGCAAAGGGCAGTAATATAGTGAAGGCTGCCATGGAGCGTGGAGCTGCTAGAAAGGCCAGGCACATTCCTTCCTGCCCACCCCGCCTCTTGTAACTCTCTTTCCATTTGCTCCCAACACACTCAGGAAAGGAAAAAAGAAAAATGATTCTAGTTTCAGAGGAAAAGTCAATGATGAAGAAACATGCTACACATGGCCCCTCTGCTGTGTCTGCCTTGGCTTATGGGATCCTCTGTGCCTAGTCTTATCTTCCTTTAAGTCTTCCACTTTGAGTCTATACACTTCTTTGAGGCCCTCCTTGATCTTCATTCCCTCATGAGAAGCAGCTGCTCTCCCTCTGCCCTTCCAATCTCCTGTTTCACCTCTGCTTCATACTTCGCCATCTCCCTGTCTGACCCCCACCTAACATCTTACTTAACTGCTGTGTCACCGCTAGCTGGCCCACTACTCAGAATGGTGCATGACAGATGAATTCAATAACTGGAGGTTTACCTATAGCACTTGCCATTAAGAAAGAAAGCTCCTGCCAGGACCACTGCCCCACTTGCAGAGGTGGAAAGCAAAATGCCTGGCTAACCACCTCCATTGGGGTTTGGTTATTTTCAGAGTGGCTGAGAATCTAAAAATGCAAGGTTCTTTAAGAAGGAAACTGCAAACCTCAAAAGCACATTACTGATTTATGGGATTTGCATAAGCTTTTAATGGCAGGGAGGACCTGGCCTGCTTCTTCCATATCCACTTAAGCATTATGCACTTTGCTTCTGGTTGCTAAATTATCTTGAACAAATCATCTCCTGCATCCACCCAGCTCCAAACTCTGCATGTTTGCTATCTTATCTGATGACCAGTCTGTAAGGACCACACGTCAGTCTTTTTCTCTTCCCATTGTTTTAAGTAACTATCCTGGAAGCACTGGATGCCCTGGAAGTTGCTCATGCTGCCCAGGAGCTTCTTAGGTGGTTGGAGGATAAAAGAAAGAAAGCATCAGCAGTTTCTAGCCACTATTTGGTCGCATCAGCTGGTGGCCTGGATTTCAGATCTATCATTTGGGTTTCCTCTAATTTTTTCATTTTGTTTTGCAGAGCTAGTTTCTCCTACCTGTTGAGAGAAGAAAAGTGTTTCTTTTTTTAAAAGTTTGTTTGATTTTCTTTTTAATTAAAAAAAAAAAGTTCCCCTTCTTTGTCACCATGCTTTGTCCTTTGTCCATGGAGAAATGAGGGGTATAAGAAATCATCAAGACATGTTTAACACATGTGCTGGGGCTAAGGGGGATGGCGAAGAGATGTCACAAGATGACTGATTTTGAGGACATCATTTTTAAGTATCTTTTATTATGTGGAAGTTAACAACAAAAGAGGTGTAGCTGACAAGTCATGAGGTCTTTCTCTTTTTAAGAGTTACCAACAGTAGTCCCATGTTTTCAAATACAAATTTGGAGCATGCAGCAGGTTCATATCTGACAGATAGGCCCTTCCTACTTCTTTAAGGTGTTTTCTACATGTATCATTTTTAGAATTAGGATAATTCTGAAACCGTAAATGAACCCAACTGCAAATTGTTTCTACCTGTAATTTACTTTTCTCAGAGTTTCTTTTCTCTGCTTTTCAGGTCTTGCCCCACAATTCCTCTCCTATGTTGCAGCTCCACCTGCCTTCTTGAACACCAAATCCAGTCCAGCCCCAGGGCCTTTGCATGTGCCCCCCCCCCTTTTGTACTTGCTGAGCTCTTCCATGTGCTTGATCCATGCTGATTCTTCGGTTTAAATGTAAATTCACTTCCTCCAAAGCTTTTCTGATCATTCTTCCTGAAGAGATCCCTCATTCTTTATCACACCAACCAGCTGTCTCCTGCTCACTCCACCCATCCTGCCCCTGGGAAGGAAGTTCAGTACATACATACCCTTTGCAATTAGAACGGATCTCTTTCCTTTGCTCTGAACAGCATATTTGCCACTACCCCAGTCTCTCATCCATGTTCCGGTGGCACCGTGGATGCAACAAGGATTTATAAAAACGTTTTTTTTTTTTTTATTAACCCCAAGTAATTAAAAAAATTAAATTTAAAAATGACTTTCCAAACAACTGAAATGTTATTTTAATGCTTCTGTCAGCTTAGTTCTTAAAATATAACAATAAATCTTCTGAAAAGCATGGAGCAAAGTCATTAAAGTTTATTAAATATTTGAGATAATTATTTCTAAAGTTGTTTGATTCCTCTGTGACGCTATATTATCTTATTCTCAACAATAACTTCTTGACTCTGTTTCAACATTTAGGTTCACATGAATTATTCCAAATTTCTTAATTTCCAAGCAACACATTTAATTCTTCAGATTGTTTCCAAAACAGTCAAGGGGAAATCCCTGATGATTTCAGCTGACATTTCCTTCATCAGGAGAGCACTGTGAATGCTAATCACAGGAAAGCTACAATTTACAGGAAAGAAAGGGGAAATGCTCATCTATTGCACAACACTCCGTGAAGAAAGCCTGGCTTATTAGTTGAACAGCATACTCATGCTGACAACTTTATCAAGAATTTCTAGTGACATCATAAACTATGTTGGAGCAAATAAAATGTTTTTATTGACTATGTTTCTCAAAGTCCAAGGTGACTGAAAGATTTCCCTTCTTTGAAGATTTTTTGAGAAAAATGAAACATCAAATAATTTGTGCATTTTTATCAGACTTCTACAGGGATTTTGGATTTTAAAGGAAGCAAAGAATGAAGTTAAAGAGGATTCTTGGTTGGTGTCTAATTCCATCTAGAATTGGAGAGAGTGGTTTCCTTGATGGTTTCTGTTATCTGGTAGAAGAAGGGAATTACCTGCTTCTGCTTTTAGCTGTGGGTGCACAAATCAAAGTCCTCTGCCAGTGGGCCAGAGCCAATGCCTTGGTAGTGTCCCCAGAACAAAATCTTCCCAAGTCACAGAGAGATGGTTCGAAAGCAGTAACTGCAGCAGTGTAACTTTGACCCCATTTATCTGATAAAATCAATTAGGTTTCATTTGCAGTAGTTATCTAACATATTAAAAGTGAGATCACCATTAGCACTGAGTTTTTCCCTTGTAGTCTCTATATATTCATCAATAAACCATATTCTTTATTAATGTTTTATTACAAGTGATTACACACATAGGCATTGCATACACACATCTTGTTAATGGTTACATTGTAATCCAGCAAGACGTAGGATGGTAGGATGCGAATACACACTTCAATAAATGAATAGGGGAAGGGGTGTAACCTAGGAGCCCAGGCAGGTCATAGTGACTCAGCCCCAGCACCAGCCTAAACCTTCCTTGAGATTTAGTCTTGAGCATTTATTTGTGAGAATGGTAAGGCGAGCAAGAAACTACCAAATACTCGTAGGGACACTAGCGAAAAATGAGAGGAGCTTAAAGGAACTGGGGATTAAATGTAGTTACGGAAAACAGAAATAAAACTATCCGTGACACTGGTTTTCATTTTGAAAACTGTTTTGAGTATCCCACATGGCGATTACACATTTCCATGTTACCTAATAGCTGCTGGGATCATTTATTGGGCACTCACTGGATGCCAGGCACAGCTCCAAGCGTTCTGCACACATTATTTCTTTGAAGCCCCATGACAATCCTATAATGTCCCAATTCTCATTTTGGAGAGAAAAAAAAAAAAAAAAGAGCAAAAAAGGTTAAATAACTTGCCCCAAATCACACAGCTGGTGAGCTGGGAATGCAACTCCTTCCTGTCTAACTTGGTCTGATTTATGGATGGTCTCTTTTGACATTTTGGAGCTAGTCTCCCTGAGGGCCCTTCAGGGCTCTAGCAAAATGTTTCAAGTATTTTTCTGATGCTTCACCTTACTAATTACACAACCAATTAGAGTTTCCCAATAGAATGGAAAGATACAATCTATTGTTTCTATTTAATCATACCTCATTCCACTTCAGTGTCTCTGTTTAAATGCAACAAGTGTCCCATCTATTACAGTAGAAATGAAAAGGAAATCGGCTTCCACCCTCCATATTTTATGATCTTTGTGAGATTCTCACAGCTGAGCTTTGAATTTCCTTCTTAAAAACCTTTGAACCACAGACTGGTGCTTCTTGTTTTGACAGTCCAATCTTATTAGATCATGCTGCAGCTCAGTGTAGGCCTTGCTCAATACTCTGAAATTTCAGACTTACCAAAGCTGCTAAAAACTTTCTGACTGAGAAGTCCACGACCTCATGTGAAACTGGAGCCATGGGAATTTGAACAAATTAATAAAACATATCTATGGTAAAGAGAAACAATGATGACAGTGCCGTGACTCTTGGCCCCAAGCTCCCAAGGTGTTTAAGGAACTGTACACTTCCACCCAGCGATCACTCCACTTTGTGCCTCCACAACACAATTCCTTCAGGAAGCGCTGCATGTTGGCTCCTGTTTTCATGCTCAAATTGCCCTCAAGTGGCTAGCAGGAGGCAACAGAAATGCACTTCCCCTTTCATCTTCAGAGTAAAGAAATGGCACAAAGGGGCAAGAATTCGGGCTGGGGCAGATTTCACTAAGTGAGGCATGCTAACCCAAATGGGTGGGCTAAAGAGCCTGGGGGAGGGGGCTGGCCGTGCAGCTGGTTAAAAAAAAGGAGGAGGCAAACAGCTTCACAATAAAAATGATCTGGGGCTGGAGCTGGAGCTCAATGGCAGAGCGCTTGCTTAGCATGTGGGACGCACTAGGGGTTCGCGCCTCAGCACATTAAAAATAAATAAAATAAAAAAGTACAGTCTATCTACAACTCAAAAACATGCTTAACAAAAAATAATTTGCAAATGCCTGTGTATCACGTGGCCTCAGGACAGTTTTCCATTCTCAAGAGAAACACGTGTCTTGTTTCCCCTCTGTATCTCCATGCTTCCTTCCCCAGATATAAACTACAACCTCAATCTACCTGCAGCCAAAAGCAGATGACTAAGGACAAGGCCAGATGGTCAGATTGCTGTTTGGCCTGTATTGCTGGAAGAAACCAGAACAGCAAAAAACGCTACCATAAAGAGGGTCAAAGGAAGCAGACTTCTCTGACTCAGGAGGAATATCAGGAGAGGATAAACTTCAACTCTGATTTTGAAATAAATGACAAAAAGAATGCTTTACTTTCTTTAAATCAATAGCAAAGGCTTGAGATTTAGTTATTCAGCACCTTGTTAAAACTAGGTCAGAGAGTGTAATGAGAAGAATTTTTGCTTTTCATTTGGGATTATATTGCAGAGAAATGGCACAGGGCTCTGTGGGAAGGTTTATAAACTCTCATGCCTTCAAGGCTAGGAAATGAACATGTGACTAGGATTTGGCCAGGTGGAGGCTGTGGCAAGGTAGAGTGGAAAGGAGGGCCACCATCTCATCTGGGCAGACTGTTTGCATGTGGTCAGAGCATACGTGGTCAGAGACGATACTGAAAAAACCAGTTAGAAAAGCTGATTTTAATGTGAAACCTCCCAATTATTGTATGTTGCAACTAATTGATATATGTAATACACAACTGTGTGGGCCAAAGCCAACACATCTGTGGGCTGGATCCAGCTCACAGAGTGCTGCTGTCTGCCCTCGGTGCGCACTTGAGGCCAACTAGTGCTGGCACAACTCCATGGAGCCCACTGTGCTGCTGCTTGCTCAGCAGAGTCCTTATAACTCTACTCGTGGGGCCTCAGGGAGAGGTCCAAGAAGGGTTTCTTCCACTAACAACATCAAATCTACACTTCTGCCTGTTGGAAGAGGCAGGTATCCTAAGATCTCTAGGCAAATTTAGAGAGGTGCTTGCGAGGGAGATGAGATGGCTTCACAATGAGGCGCGACCAACTATTTCTAGCCCCTACCAGGATTTAAAAATCCAGAATTTGATCTTTGCTGTCACCAGAGAAAAAAGAGTCCAGGAGATGTCAACCAGGATCTTCCAAGTGGCAGCGCAACAGGACTGGCAGAAAGGTTCAGCTAGGGAGAAAGGAATCATATTCCCCTCTGATCTGAGGGTACACTATGGAGCAGAAACCAGGGGAGAGCTGGCTGCCCAGTCACCTGGCCTCCTTGGCAGCCTAAGCCATGCTTTCCACTGTCCTCCCAGACTGGGGGTTTCTAAACACAGCACTGCACATGGAATGAAGAGGGACTGGAAGGAAGCGGCTTCTATTTTACAGAGGAGATAGTCAAATTCAAGCTACAGACTAGGAACTATCACTCAGTTCTACCACGGGCCAGGAATCCTCAATGTTAAAAGAAGATAAGAGACAAATGCTGGACCTCTCCCTCCACATTCAGCGAGAGGAGAGCTGGCGTATATGTGACTGGCAGTGGGTGGAATGAATCTGTCCTCGCCAGCAGTGTCCACATCTGAACATGCTGTTGTATGGAATGGCATCAAAGAGAGGTAACACTAACACCCAACTCCTGCTCTACAGCCCTTGTACTTTACATGGACTGACTTCTATGGAAAACCAAAAGCCATGCTTCACTTCTGAACTTCTTCCCACTGTCTCTTAAACCACAGTCCCCAAGAATTGTCAGTTCTGCTGGTAAGAGTCCCAAGCCTGGATTCCTCCTCTCCACCCATTACCTTCACTGAGGCCTTCATCTTTGTCTAAACCACTGAAACTACCTGCCAGCTCGTTTCCTTGCTCCAGGTCTATCCTTCAGCCCTTACATCACAGGCACACCAAAGTCCTATTCCACATCGTTCCTCTGCCTAAAAACCTGCCACAGGTAAAACCTACATCCACACCTGCTAGGACTGGGTTGGCAGCTACCACTTAATATGCTAAATATCTTGCCAGGATCTTCCCTTATTATTCATTTAATCATCACAACTATGCCAATAAAGCTAAGAAAGTATCTTCGCTGTATAGATTTTTCTAAAAATAAATAGGTTAATCATTAGCTATAAATAGAAGTCAAATAACTTGTCCATGGTCTAAATCTGTCAGATTTATCACTGACAAGTCTGTTTATCTTGTCAGTGTGATGAATTTATGTCTTAGGTAGAGAATAAACTGGTGTCAATGTACAGGATGAAAATCTCATAGAAGTCAAAGCCAATACAACCATCTCTTAGAAAGGTCAAACACAGCCAGGATTGGAAAGGATGTTGCTTCTTTGGCCAGCACAAGAAGTAGTTGATATGCACCTTGGGTCATATTAGATGGACAATTTCTTCTTCTTGCCAGTTTGGTGGTGCACTCCTGTAATCCCAATGACTCAGAAGGCTGAGGTAGGAAGATCATAAGTTCAAAGCCATTCTCAGCAACTTAGTGAGGCCTTAAGCAACTTAGTGAGACCCTGTCTCAAAATAAAAAATAAAAAGGGCTGGGGATGTGGCTCAGTGCCCCTGGGTTTAATCTGCAGTACCATAAAATTTTTTTAAAAAATCACACTTGATGCAATGTATTTTTTTTTTTTAAGAGAGAGGGGAGAGAGAAAGGAGAGAGAGAGAATTTTAATATTTATTTCTTAGTTATTGGTGGACACAACATCTTTGTTTGTATGTGGTGCTGAGGATCGAACCCGGGCCGCACGCATGCCAGGCGAGCGTGCTACCGCTTGAGCCACATCCCCAGCCCGATGCAATGTATTTTACACTGCGAGTGTGGCATGGAAGCTGAGGCCACCTGAGGGAACAGCAGGTTGGTCTCTCTCATCTCATGCTCAGTGTGAAAATGCTATATAGAAATTACCTGCACCATTTAAATTTTCTCTCTCCATTTTTGCTAAGTATACAGCTTACTTAATTGTGTACAATAGCAATGGATGTCTATAGCCAACAGGGTAGTACAGTGCACCCTAATTACTTTTAAATTACTTGCATCTTCTACACAGTTAAGAGGGTACAGAAGCCATTTATCCTTGCATTTTTTGGTACCCAGAAGTGCACTTTGCAAAAAGTAGACAGTTAATTTATAAAACTGTCTTATAGTTCAGCTCCTTCAATGGTCATCACAAATTCCAAATTAGTTAAGTATGAATTAAAAAGATTACTGGGCAGGTCCAGTTTATTTGGTCCTGCAAAATGAATTAACTTATTTTCAACTAGACTTCTGACTGACTTTCATGTTCTACACCTTGGTTTGGTTTTGATCAAGCAACTTGACTTTGGGGGTGTCCATTCAGTTCAGAACAATATCTCCCAGAGTAATGAGCCTGACTGTTCCCATAGGCTCCTCTGTGTCAGAGCTGAGCACAGGTTTATAGGTACAGGCAGCTGCTCTGAAGGCTCATTTTCTTCTCTATGTGGTCAGTAACAGGAAACTGAACCTTTCATATTTTGGCCTTTGATCCTATCCTGCCCTTAAAAAAGCATTCAGCAACACTGGAGTTTCAAAATGTTGGAACAGTGAGCATTTATAGCGTTCAGTTGAAAAATAGAGATGCCGGAGGTGAGAAGCTTCAGCTCTTGAACACTTTATCTGCTTTGTGCCCCAGGAAAATACCTGTGTGATAAATGCCTGTGTGACGTAGCCAAGATTTTTTGTTCCTGATTTTCAGAGTCGTTTGAATGTATAGGCACCAATTTCCTATCCAGTTCCTGAGCAGGGGTCTTACAGAGTGGTCAAATGGAGTCTACAACTAGTCTGTTTCACCCAATCTGGTGGCAAGCACGTCCCTATACTCACTAAATTACAGGATGATAAGAAGTCACACAGATCTGGGATCAAATACTTACTGCCCCATAAGCTCCCCAGCCCCTTTCACCTCAACTTCCTTCTGGGGACAGTGTCATTTGGTCTACATCAGTGTTCTTATCTGCTCGTTCTATCTGATTAAATTGGAAAATACAGGTCAAGCACTTAGCAGTAGTTGCTGTCATTCTTCTCCCAATTTCACTTCCTGCTGAGCACCAAGTAAAAGCTGAACTCCTTCAAATGGCCTGGGAGGCCCTGTGCCATCTGCCCCTTGTCAGCTCTCTGATGTCATCTCCTACTTTCCTTCCCCTTTCCAAGGGGACCTCCCCACAGGCTCCCACATCAGGTCTTTGCATGGACCAATTCCTCTCATCTATTCCTGGTGCTTATAACAGTGTGTGGCACATGCGATGCATGCAAAAAACACACTGCCTAGTGTGGCAAACTAATCTTGGGCAGACCTGGAGTTCAGTAGTGGCAGAAGAGGTCCTGAAATCTTGCCTACCCCTTCTGAAGGAACTGGGACTCTGACCCCTAGTAGCTAACACCTTGTTCCACATGCTTCCCATGAATAAGTTAATTTCATCTCACACTCTACCCTCAGCCTCATAGGGTAGTGGGGTATACTGTTTTTATTCTTTATTTTAGAGCAGAAAACCAAGAATTGAGAGGCTAATTTGCTGAAGGTCACTGAGGTAGGAAGTGACATGAGCTAGATAACATGAACCACTGACACCTGCTACTTCTGGCCAGGAAATCATCATGTTCGGTAACTCCTCGGGATTCTGTTCACTAGGACTGCCACCAGCTTTACAGTCTCCTCTGGATGCCAACCCACAAGGAGGCAATTTCCCTTAGCACCCCTCTCCCTTTCTCTTTGATCTGAGTACTAGGGTTCTAGCATATTCCTGAGCCAACCCTGACAAGTTGTGATGGAGGAGGCCAGGAGAAATGGTCACAGGCACTGTTCATTTCAGGGACAAAAAAATCAAAGCCCAAATGTTTCATTTCCTTTAAGTAATACTTCATAAAACCAGCTAATTACTGAGATAAAGAAGTAATTTTTAAGGTCAAATAATGACAGGATTGGAAGTCAGTGGGTCAGACAGGTCACTACTGGGAGCTGACATGACAGCCCAGTTAGAATGTTCTCTCACCCATTCTTCACCTTGGTAGTGCTAACCAGTCCTCAAAGACTCACCTCAGCACTCCACTCCCTCCTCAGGGAGCCTTTGCAGACCAGCCCCCATGCTCACCTTTCTGTCCCCTCCTCAGGCCAGGGTAGGTGATTATTCTGTCTACTCAAAGCACCTTGGATCTTCCTCCTCTACAACACTTGCTGAACACTGCATCCCTGTCTACCCCAGTGACCTCTCAGATGTACACTTGAGAGCAGGGACAATAACCTTTCCATGTGTGCATCCCAGGTGTCTAGTGAATTAGAGAAGCTTGATAAGTGACTGTTGAATGGAACAGTGCCACCCTACTGAGACACCACAGCCTCTCAGATCTCTAATCTGCCTATCACCTTGGATCTGACTTGGACTGGCATCTAAAATATAGTAACCCAGTTCTAGTTTACAAAAGCAAAAATTATATGGTCAGGATAACAGTTCTCAAACTATATAACATTTTCTTTCTAGAAGTCAAAAGTTCCTTAACTAATCTCAGTAAAATCAACTGCCCCAAATTCTCATTAAATAAATGCATTAAAGAAGTAATTACATTTTCCTTAGGAGGCCCCTCTAACTTTCAGAAGGTAGCATGTTGACAAATTATCTCCTCTTGATCCAGAGACTTAGTGATGAGAAACCTGTATCAACGAGAATATTTATAACCTCGTAAGTACCACTAAGTACAGACCTAAAAATGCAAAATGTTTGTAGGTGTTGTTATAAATACTTGAAAGTTTTACTTTCAGAATGTTCACTGGGTCACAGCAAAGAAACTATCAATATAGAGGAAAAAAATAACACATTCCTTTTTACTGGCATCAGCTCTTCCTGAAATGTGCTACCCTGGGTATGCATGCAGATAAATATTTCGGCAATACACGGAGCAAGGAAGTATGTTTTAAGTATCCGGGGAAACAACTGCTATGGGATTATGAAGCCAGACTCTTCAATATCACCCCAAACTTAATCCTATTCATGCTGACTGACACTGCACTGAATTATGTAGTTATCAAGAAGATTAATTTAAAAACCACCCTGCTTATTCTGAAGCAATGTTGACACGAGTCTCAAATTGGTGACAACAAACCACATACCACAGAGTATTTGAATGAATCAGAAGTTCTGGGTGGGGCCTAAACTTAGGGGGAAAAAAACAACAAAAAAACAAAATGAAAAGAAATCCATAGATGAACTAGATGTGTGATCACCATAACATACACGTCCCCTTCACTTGGCTAATAGGTGCAGCTTTGGCCATGAGTCCCAGGAGCCAAGAGATCAGCCAGAACATCTGACTTCAAACAGTAGTTCTCATACTTACTGGCCCGGACTTTGAACAAGTTTCATAACTTTGTCTCTGTTTCCTCATCTGTGAAATGGGAACATGACAGTACACACCTCGGAGGGCTGTGGTCAGGACCAATGAGTAACTTATCTGACGTGCTTGCAACATGGCTGGCAGGCAGTCAGCATTATTTCTGCAACTATCTGACTTCAAAGTCCATGCTATTCTGCCACATAAGGGTTAATGTCACACAGCATATACATCTACATTCTGATACCTTTCACAACTGTTTTGCCTATTGGAAGTAATCAATAAGTGTATGTTAATTATGCTATTCCACTCTGTGTCTCATTCCAGAAAGAAAAGCTGGGGTGGAGGAAGTCTTAACACAAAATTTGGCCAAACATAGGAAATCACCTCCACCATTTAGAACATTGGAATAGGCTGCCTGTTCTCAAAATGAATACCTGGTGAAGATTTTCACAGAGTAGATTAAAGAATGACCTTTGCAGGGGAGGGAAGGATGGGCTGTGGTAAGCTCCAGGGAGTCTCTTTGTACTGGAGAAGACTGCTGGCTTCCAGAGCCACCTTTTGGCCAGGCATTTTTGTAGGCATGCATATTTACCTTAACCGAAAAGCATGAAAGCAAAAACACAGGTTACTAAAAATGGGTTTGCTTTTGAGTGAATATGCCAAAAGAGGTGTTACCCGATTCACTGCTTTCAGGATATCTCATAGTAAAATGGCCCAGTGAAATTATCTAACAGTTTAATTGAATAACTATGAATAACTTCATGTTTCTAAATGAGAAAGAAAATAAGCCCTGAATTTCTAAATACACTCTGTGTTTTCTCTGCAAAATAAGGAAATCAGTAACATTCTTTCTATTCTAATTTCTTAATAGAAAAAAAATACCCTCTGATTCACATTTGTCCCATGTAAGTGCAACTTGACCATCCCTACCACCCCTCCACCCCAGTGCTAGGGATTGAACTCAGGGTGCTCTACCACTAAGCCACATTCCAGCCTTTCATTTTTCATTTTGAGACAGGGCCTTACTAAATTGTCCAGGCTGGGCTTGAACCTGCCATCCTCCTGCCTCAGCCTCCAGTCGTTGGATTACAGATGTGTGCCACTACAACTGGCTTGACTTTTTTTTTTTTTCCTTTACAGGAATAAAGAGCCTTGAGTTTGCTTCTCTGCAAGGAAACATTCAAAGCTGCTGTAAAAATTACCACGAGGTGGGGGAGTCCTAGGAGAGCAAAATTCATTTGCATCCCTATTAGGGTACGCGCTCTCTCAGGCACACAAACCTGCATATCTATTCTCTCATGCCACTTCCTCCCATTTCTAGTATGTGACACAGAAGAAAGGACAGCCTTTTACTATATATGCCATGCCTGTAGGGGAAGTTGAACATGGGTTGGGGGAGCTAAGGTGTGCGCTCTGCATACAGCGAGCACCATAGTTCATTAAACCTCCGTTTGTAAAATGAAGATGAAAACAGTTCAGAGGGTGAGGGAAAGAATTAAGTGAGAATCTGTGTAGGTATTGGGACAATGCCCAGCACACAGTAAATGCCCAGTAAATGCTTACTTTTGTTTTTTTTAGTATTAATAGAAACTGGGAGATGTTATTACTCAACTATAGAATCTAAACATAATTCATATTAGTACCTCAATAAATATTATTTAGTCCTTTGATATTCTGAAGGCACGTGGAGCAGGACTGCTCAGTAATTTAGAACCTTCATTGTGGCAGCCATTATTATGGCATCATGATATACTGACATTTCATCCAAAATAATATTTAATTAACAAAATGCTCAAAAGAGAACTGACTAAAACTTAACAAACAAATCCAGCTTTGTAACTAAATGAAGATGCTGTTTCCCTTTCCTTTGGGAGAGACATGATTCAAACACTTCCTATAAACCTAGTTATTCCTTTCAACCATTCCCCAACTGAGCCACATGAATCCACATTAAAAGTTAGGGAACAAATAATGCAGAAGGTGTATGGTGACCTGGTATGAATGGATGAATCACCAACTCTTGATTCTTCTCTTTTCTTCTTCTGTCCCACTTAGGCCCTCCCCCAGTTGTGTTACCTGAAGGAAGGAGGCCACAGCCCAACAAGGAGAACTCGGATCTGCACCTGGCTCTCTGTATGGGTCGGAAAACATGAGCAGTCTGCTAAGGTCTCTTTTCTGGGGGAGGTTTCTGAGGGATCTTGAGTCCCTGTCTGAAGAATGCAACCTCTGAATTCTGCTAAAGTTTTTTTTACTCATCAAATTGGCCTTTGTAGATGTTCTTTTTATTTTATTTTACTTATTTGTTTCTTTTGCGGGTACTTGGGATTGAACCCAGTGGCATTCTACTACTGAGCTACTTTTTATTCCCAGCTCTTTTTATTTTATTCTGAGACCTGGTCTTGCTAAATTGCTGGGCTGTCCTTGAATTTGCAATGTTCCTGCCTCAGCCTGCTAAGTCACTAGGATAACAGGCGTGCACCACTGTACCCAGCTGTGGATGCTCTTTTTACATATCTGTGGCTGATGAAATCAAGAAGATGAAACTCTTGATGCCTTCCAAGTCCTGTATCAATTTTCTTTCTTTGTCAGAAACACAAAGATCACCAGAGTAGGAGTTCCAAAAGATAAAGAGATGGAAGATACAACTAGTACAGAGAACAGCCTAGAAATACAAGCTAAAGGCTAAAAGTGGCAGTGCAGTTACTGGAAACAAGGGGTATGGAGGCAACCAAAAGTCAAAGAAAGGTTCTTTCCCTTCTTCTGTAGCCAAGATCCGATGTCATCACAGCAACACAACATTCAAGAAAGCCCAACCTATTTTAAGTAGTTTCAGGTGACAGATTATTGGCCCACAATGAAACACAGACTGACAGAACACAGGAGAAAAAGTTCACTGTGCTGTGAACCACTTCTAATCTTGACTGATAAAACCAGAAGAGACATGCATCTCCATTTTCAAGTGCTTACTGGGTGACATCACACTGTGGATTTAATCAAAGTGCTGTCTGGATTACCCAGTAAATGTCATACAATAGTACATGAGCAACTCAGATAAAAGCCCTGGAACACTGTGAGTGAATTCACTGCAAAACCCACATCCCAGGTGAGTGTGTACTGTTAACTCCAAATCATTTACCTTGAGTTTTTTTCCAGATATAACTCTAATCCCATAAATAATGGCATTTGTCTTGTACAGAGCTATGGTTTTGAGAAAGTTGATCTGGTCATTTAAGACAGTATCCATATAAAAGTACAAGATTAAAACTTCTGCCTTAGTTAGCAAAATAAATATTACAATATTAACCCATCAGGGAAATGCAAATCAAAAGGAGATAGCACTTCACACCCGCTAAGATGGCTATAATCAATAAGACAGATAATAACAAGTGTTGACGAGACGTGGAGCAATTGGAACCCTCACACACTGCTGGTGGGAATGTAAAATGGTGCAGTCGCTTTGGAAAACATTCTGGCAGTTCCTAAAAAGGATAAACATAGAGTTACCATATGACCCAGCAATTACACTCCCAGATAAATATCACAAGAAATGAAAAGAAAGCACGTCTACTTGTACATGAATGTTCACAGCAGCATTGTTCATAACAGCCGAAAGATGGAAACAAGCCAAATGACCATCAGCTGATGAGGAGATAAATAAAATGTGGTATATCTTGTTACGGTATTAAAAAGGAATGAAGTACTGATACATGCTACAACGTGGACAAACTTCAAAAACATTACATTAAGTTAAAAGAAGCCAGACACAAAAGACCACATGCATATTTATACAAAAAGTTCCAAACGGCAAATCTATAGAGACAGAAAGTAGATTAGTGGTTGCCTAGGGCTGGGGGAGCTTGGGGGAAAATGGGAAGTGAATGCTTAAAGATATAAGGTTTCTTTTTGAAAATGTTCTCAAATTGATTGTGGTAATGATAGCACAGCTCTGAAGACACAAAACCCCAAAGCATCATAGACTTTAAAGGAGTGAGTTGTGTGGTATGTGAATACATCACAATAAAGTTGTTGTACAAAAGAATCTTAGCACATCGGAGAGGAGGAAGCATGTTGTCCAACAAGGGGTCCTCGGCCATCATCATTCCCCGTGTTCAGTGTTCGGCCCACCGACTAAAGGTTCCAGCCCTGAGAGGTGGCCTTCATGTTCAGGGTCTCACTCAAGTTGCAGGTACTCCTGTCCCTTCTCCTAATGCCTGTGCTGGAAGCTTCCCTCCGGTTGTGTTCCTTATGACAATTAGCATGGAACTGCGTAGAGTAAATGCTCAACCACCTTCTAGTGAACTGAATTCAAATAAACTCCAA